TAATTAAATCTTTCGAGAATAATTAACTAAATAAGGCAAGAACAATAGATTAACCATTCCAACATTAATTTAACATAAAAAATAAACAACCAAACTAGTCCGGACCCAGAGATCCGGACCCTAACTCATACTATGCAAACATAAATTAAAATAGCATTTTATTAAATAAAGAAAACTTACAACCTCCGTAAAAGCGGAACAGAACAGATCTGGAGTCAAAACCTCCGGAAAATACTTCAAACTAACTACTAAAACTATTATACAAGCTAAAATGGAGACGGGATATGTAAATCCCAAAGTTGGGATGGAATGGGATGATAAAAATGAGAAGAATCGTGCTGTATTTATAGGAATGGATCCAAGGCGTCCAAGTCAAAGCGTCCAAGTCCAAGCGTCCAGATCGGGACGCCTGAGCTGTTCCGGCCAACCAGATTTTGCCACGTGTCTTTCTTGGATTGCAATCTAGCCCAGGCGTCCAACTTCAAGCGTCCAACTTGGCCAAGCGTCCAAGTTGGACGCCTGGAGGCCTTGGTCCGTTGGGCTTCACGGCTGGTTCATGATTTTGGCCCAATTTCGCTCCGTTTTGGCCCCGAACACTGTTTTTGACCTCTCGGAAGCTCGTTCAAGCTCGAATCTTGATCCTTTGATGATTTATTCCCTTTTTCTCAAGTATTTGAACATAAATGGATGATTTATGATGATTTCACGTGGAATCCCATTTTATGACTCTTAGAACGAAAATGAGAGTTTTATCCATTAAAATCACATTTTATGAGATGATTAAATACTATTTACGTGCAATAACGTTTAGAATATGATGTAAATGATAAGAACGAAAAGGACTTATCATGATCCTTACGTAGAATTTCCTTAGTGCGCAGGATGGCGATTCTAATTGATCTACACGCCGTTCCCTGATTGGGACCAATTTTGGTTCCAGTCGGGGTTCACTTTTTGGTCCAACTTTCTCCGAATTGAATTCCATTTTCACCGTTGCGATCGTGGAATTAAACTCTATCTAACGATATGATTTTTATATTTATTTGTTATACTTTTTCCGACATCATATTTTTGGTGTTTGACTTTGACAGAGTCAAAATTGGTTTAATTGGCCTTTATTCAAAAAGGTTCTCACATTTAATTCATGTTATTTATTTCCATGATTTATTTCAATAAATCAATTCAAAGTTCACATTACAAACAATTTCTTCATTTATTTTTAATTTGGGTCTGTACTCAGGTTCCCCATCAAGATTACACAATAAGTCAACTAATTGGATTTATCTCTATGAGATTTATCCTGATTGTGATATTGGATATCAAAACACATTTTATTCCGGCCCAAAGGCCAACAATAATTTATTTTAATCAAAACAAATTTTGTTTAATTGAATATTTAATTCAATAAATTTTAGGGTATATTTTGGGGCGTTACAGCTTGTATGCTTCCTTTTGATTGTCAATGATCACCTTCAAGTAGTCTTTGGTTACTACCTGATTTGCTTAAGCAATTGCTAGGGCTGATCTGATGTCCATTTGGAGAAGGGACATCTATTTTTGTAGACCAACTTTGACATTTGCTATTTGCTCCTTGACTTTGTTGAATTCATTGAATTGCAGTTGACTGTCAGAGGTGTATATTTCCATCGTATTGCTCACAGTTTTACTCAATAGAGAGATGATCTCTAGAGTCTTTTCTACTGATTTACTTATCTCCTTGAGATCAGCGATGTGTTTCTCTTCAGATTTCTCTATCAGCTTAGTGTGTTTGGCTTCCATTAGCTCTATCTCTTGCCTAAAGGAGGCATGTTGAGATGCTAGGGCTGACTCAATCAGCCCTTGGACCTTCTTTGTCCAGATTTCCGGTATCTCATCCGGAAGGGTAGGGGTTGAAGAGCTATGGAAATGAACATTGGTTACCTGATGAGGAGATGATGTCCTTTGGAAGAGTTGCAAAGGAAGAGATTCAGCATCTTCTCGTACATCTTTTTCATCAGTGACCTTCAAGGTTCTTTCAGATTCACCTTCAGCTTCATCAAGTTCAAAATTTGATATATCCCTAGAGAGGGAGTCTCTATCTTCATCAGCATTCTGTTCTTCAAAAATGGCTATTGGAGTTTGACAAACCTCCACTTCTGCCAATTGAGTTTCCCTTTCAGCTTCTCCAGAGTTCCTTTGCACTTCAACAGCTTGCTCTGACTGTTCTGGAATTGTTGCTGACTTCTCCGGAATCTCAGTTTCAGTAGGATTGGAGATCTCACAAGGAGTTGTGAGAGTCTCCAAAACTTGAGAACGGATTAGTTGCTGAAATTCTTCTTCTTCAGTTGCTTCCTGGTTCTGCTCTTGGGGGGGAGAGGCTGCCTTCTCTTGAACAGTTTCAGTCAGAACCATTTCAAACGCAGGTGAGGTTTCCGGAAAGATTGGGAAATCCTCAGCTGTTGCTTCCAAACCAGCTATTTCTTCAGAGGTGAGAACCATTTGTTCTTCTGTGGCTCTAGTGAAGATTGGCTTGAAGACAGCAGTGTCTTCATCATCTGCTTCACAATCTGAAGCTGGTGTGTTGGCCAGGTACTCCATATGCAGATCTTCCGGGTTCTTTTGCCATACCCAGTAATCATTCAAAATATCTTCACAGTTGTGGTTGACTGGAATACCTAAGCACTTCTTGATAATCTTCTCATTCTTCAGCTGTTGGTCCCAATCCAACAGTTGCTCTTCTGAATTTCCAACTTTCCAAGCTCTCCAATTATAGTAGAGCTGCCAGAATTTGTTGTCAGCATCATCTGTATGAGGCTGAGAAGATGAGGTTGGAAGGCTTGGGACTTGATGAGTTTCTTCTTCAAACTGTTGAGGGCTCCGGTTTTGAACAGAGGTTTCCTCAGCAATTTCCTTCTCCTTCAACTCATCCGGATTGACATTTCCAGATGTTGATGGAGAGTTGATTTTCCTCTTCTTCTTCCTTTGAAGTTCTCCATGGTCAGAGACTTCTTCTTCTTCTTCCAAACAT